ACCGAAAGTGTTAGGCCCCAAAACAATACTATTTGCAGATGACGCAAAAATATGGAACACGGTAACAGAACCCGAGGGCTCTCTAACACTTCAGGAATCACTCAACGCAGTTTATCAATAGTCTAAGGAGAACAACATTGAATTTAATGTTTCTAAATGCAAAGTCCTATCCCTACGCCACAAGCGGAAATTCTCGTATTTCCTCGGGGACCAGCAGCTACCACATACTTCTAGCGAAAAGGACTTAGGTATTGTTGTTCAAGAGGATTTAAGCTGCCCCAACAACTGTGCTAATGCTTCGTCTGCTGCTACGAAGAATGTCGGCTTACTTCGGCGAGTCTTTGGCCGGTTGAATCATCACTATTCCCTCGTTTGCTATCAGCGTACATTCGACCCTATACAGAGTACGCCATCCAAGTTTGGAGTCCATGGCTTCAACGTGATCGTAAGATGCTTGAGCGTCCACAAAGGATGGCCACCAAGATGGTCAAGGGATTCCATTACCTGAAATACGAGGGCAGATTGCAATCATTAGGACTATATTCTGCTTAGTACCGCCGAACTCGAGGAGACTTGATTTTGGCGTATCAAATACTGCAGAACCCAAACCATCCGTGTCGATCGCTCCTCATATTATCGAACAATGTACACCTAAGGGGACATGGTTTCAAACTACTGATTCCAAAGAGTCGACTGGATTGCCGGCGCCAGTCTTTTGCAGTCAGAGTATGCAGATCTTGGAATGCCTTTCCATCTCATGTCGTTTGTGCACCCACTATTGAATCTTTCAAACAGAGACTCGACGAAACTTTGGTACACCTCACATTCGTACACTAAAGGCAAACGGAAATTCACTGTAGCCTACATTCTCTATTATCTCCTACCCGGATCTCTATGCGACTCCTTTTTTGATGTGTAACGATTTATCTGTGTAAATATCCTATGGGACAAAAGAAGCACCAGCTTGTAAGCTATTCCCATAATAAAACTTTGACTTTGGATCAGATTTCATCGCTGTTTATCCAGGCCAGATAGTGCTGCCGAGCCCTAACAGCTAAAGATTTGCCGGTGCGGTCTGCAAACTCTGTTCGATAGGGCTCAGTAAACCGGTACACGCAAAATGACACTGCAGAATTAGGGACCTCAATTTCGAGTTGAAAATACATGACTAATCTGCAGTTGAAGATGATAGGTAATTTTGGAAAGTGACGTATATATTCTCCATGGCGGTTTTGGAGTGAATAACTGTATCATTGTATCCCATTTGAAGGATGATGCAAAACGACTCATTAGTCCTTATATTTTGGCTGAGCACATATGGAACAAAGACTCCGGTATTCATCACTGGCTCAAACTAATGTTAGACGACACGTAAGCGCGTGGGATATGCTTGAATCAGACCAATCAGCTGGTAAACCTGGCTCCCAGCTGCATAATAGAGTAAGCGCCCACTATGAGAGATGGGCATATTTTAGCGATACTATCAGGATGTAGTCCTCTGTCTCTGTGCAAAAGCCACATGGGCCCAAAGGCGGTTCCGTGACAAACACTGATGGAAGTGGCCTCTCAAAACTCAACTCAACAACCCCCCTCCCCTTACACACACACACACACACACGAGGTGAAAGTAAAGTAAAGTAAATGTATGCCGGCCTTGTCATTAGCTGACGTCCATATATCTCTCTCGCTCGCTGGCCCGGTTGTGATTTCACCAAATTATCACCCCGGGGACGTGTGTTCAAATCCCACCGCCACCGCCTGACTTTTCCCATTATGTGTGTTGTAAGGTAGCCCTTTGATTGGCCACTCCCCCTTTCCTGAAAATTGTATCATTATGCATTCAATATGAGGAAGTAAAGATGGAACAGGAAAAAGATAGATGCATACGGACGGGATCACTTACAATGACCGCAAACAGTGCGTATGTGCTCTTATCCACTTCGGGTTTGTATTCATCCACAGGGAAATTCACGTAGATTGTCGACTTTTTCCAACTTCCATCTTGAAAATGAAATCTAGAGAGAGAGAGCGGAGGGGAGGAAGTAAAACAGATGAGCACACGAGGACAAGGGATGGAGAGCATCATACACCGACCGGTTGCCCGGACGGTATACACAGACTAGGACAGTCGAAAAGATCGAACGTACCGTTTGAAGTGAATGATCAGATAGGTTGGTAGGCGCCACACCGTGAGGCGTTTTGTGGCATCGGTGCGACGTTTACAACGCGGACAGAACCATTGATCTTTCATGTCCTCCGGGCTGCCAAACAAACCCATACATGTCTTCAGACGAGGAGATGGGGATCGAGTGGAGGCAGAATAGCGAAATACGTAGATTTGATCGTATCGACTGCATGCATAATACGTATAATGGTATACAAAAAACAACTGCTTGAATATTCAGCTAAGTTAAAAAAAGATGGAATGATGTACTTCATGGTGGTACATTTAACTCACAGTTACTTGTGCGTAGTGGTGTGGGGTAAATGCTATGAATGTGGACTGATCTTTCTTCAGATTTCATATTCCATGCGTGCTACCCAAATCACTCAGTCACGTTGACGCACACGGAGAAAATAATTGATTCTCGTTTTGCTTCCGTGAAGCTGATAAGTAGTGCACATTCACTGCTTCGTTCAGGATTGGAATCCCGGACTTTTTGCATGGAACAGTTGCGTTAGCACTGCGCGAACCAGTTCACACTCTGGAGCTGATCAGAATCCCCGATTTAAATTCGTTCAGATGCCATCGAAAAATGATGGCAGGTCAATTTATCTTAACCCAACAGTAATCAAGCGGAACACTATATGTTGTGTCAACTCTCGTCTTTCAAAGCCACGTGAAATGACGGATAACTATAGTAGTCGAGAGAGATTCCCACGACTGATCACTGTCCACGTGATAGTTCTCTCAACTGAGCGACTGAACACATTTGGAATGGGATTCATGCAGTGAACACACAGCGCTCGTGCGTCATCAATCGCAGACATGGTGCGATCAACATATGCGTCGGGCTGCAAGAAGTTATTTGACCAAATTTAAACTGTCCAAAGCATTCGGTTGCTTGCGATTGGATGAGGCGACAGCAATTATTCTGCGGGGAAGATCATCGAGATCCGACTGAGCAGCCTTCTACTTTGATGACCACTCTTCCATGATCCACTGTTTCCTGCTGGTCAATCTTTTCTTGCAATAAACACCAGATAGGATGCAGCAAAATGACTACGGAAATCCACAGCGCAATCTTACAATTCCCGGTTCAATCCTTCATGACTGTCAGAAAGTGTGGTTCAAATGGAAGGCCTACTACATTTTCTCTCTTTTTTCGCATATCGCAGAGCCGAAACAGACGCGCTCCTTTGAGGGGTTAACTTTGGTGGCTCAGTGACAACGTCACCAAACTATCATCCCGGAGGACGTGTGTTCGAATCCCATCACTACCACAACCACCTGAATTTCCCCATTATGTTTTGTAAGGCAGCCTTTTGTTTGGCCGCCTCCCACCTCCTGAAGATCGTGTCAGTGTACAACCAATAGAGGGAAGGAAAAAAAGAAATCAAACAGCGCAGATCATTGTGAAAAAAAACAACAAGAGAACAGAACAGAACAGTGGCACACCTGTCTGATGAGACTGACCCCACTTGCCGCATTGATTGATTGATTGATTATGACCAAAATGATTGTGAGGATAGTACAAAAGAGATCAGTAAAGATAGTTGTTGTAATCACAGAACTTACCTGAAGGCTACAAGTGGAGTAACCGGGCAACGGCAGGGAGAGACACATGAAGGCGTCGAATTTGGAAGAACGTTTATCACAGTGTCGACATTCGATCACGGACAACAGTTGACCCTGACAAAATCAATTCATGGCATACGATGTGCCCAGGGAAGAACAGTGAAAATCAACTCCATAAAACGCATAAATTGAACAGTTCGAATAACCAACTGTCCTCGTCTGATAGTTGATACCAACAGTTTAAAGATCTTATCTCAGACTTGACAATTACGACCTGTAAGAATTACGTGTTTCCTTTCTAAGGCAAGATGAGAAGAACATAATCCTCAACCTAAAATCAATCTAAAGAAAGTGATTGCTGGTAGTGAGACAACCGGTGAGGAACTTGTGTAAAACAAAACAATCAAAAAATGAAGATCTGTTACCTTTGTAAAGATCAGCTGTGAGGACAGACGCGGGGGAGGTGGTACGTAACTAAACTGACATGTAGTTCATAGATTAACCAATAGTTGTGGTCAGATTCGTAGCGGAATATTCTTTCGGGATGGACAGTTGGGGCATCTAGTTCCAGATAATGCCAAATACTGCGCACGAGCCTCTTTTCCCCCATGCAGACACTCTGAACTAGAACGTGTTGGTACCATGTTGGGTACAGACAGATGGATCCATTTCAATCTTTTACCGACAAATCATGTGAACATTGGAATGATGGACACTGTACCGATCTACTAAAGGCGCTATTTATTTTTGCCGAGGAAGGGGGCATTGGACTTGGAGGTGGCGGAGGGACAGAAAGACCGAAGTACTTTTCTCTTTAATGAACCGCATCAGTCATCTCCAAATCGTTCGAGACTACGAAATGAAACACCGTGGGCAGAGCCCTTAAAATCGCCAGTGAAAAAATTGTTGAAGTGGGAGCTTCAAACACGTTAAGATGGTGAGGAATAGGCNGAATAGGCGATTGGTCACCCTTTCCATGCACCTCGCAAAATGCTCCCATACGAGCAAGCGTCTCAAATAGATTCTGCTGAAGAAGCCCTACTCACTGTCCGCTCGTGGCGGTGTTTTCCCACCACAGTGAGAGGATCAAAAGCCAACATCCAGGTTGGTAAACCACTGGTAGTTCACCCAGGAGAGTTGACGAAAAACCCTAATTCCAAACAAGCCCGGAGGAGTATGAATCACACACCCTCCCAGTTGTGGTAGTGGCCATCGCCTGGACTGGTCACTGAGGTGCTCTGGGGACCTTAGGCGATTGACCCTGTCCAAAGGGCTTGTGATTCGATGAACTGGACACCGGCCCCCAATGAACTGCGGTTTTCACACACCGCCCCGCTACCTCGCGGGTCAAGCTCTAGCTAGCCCAAGGCTCCGGTTGTGGATTCTTTAGGAAAATTCACCTGCCTTGGCCTGGGCAACCTGACAGTGTTCATTCCACATGCAAATCATGGAACGTCTATTTTTATAAAGATTATTGTAACTTGATTTGTTTGGCACACAGTCTGGTCTCAGATGGGTGTTAAAAGACAGATGATAATAATGGGGCGCACAACATCTAGGCTTGGAGATACCATGGCATCCTAAATATGATTTCCTCATTCAGATAATTTAAAATCAAGGTCACATTTTGATGGATTCAGAAGTTCTTCTCCAGCGCTACTTTGTAAAGTAGAAGAGAAGTTGAACAGGTAGCAAAGAATGTGATTCACATTACTCCACTCCGGCAATTGTGAAAATGATGACGTGGAGGCACTTGGACATGGACCACGCACAATAAATGGGACGTATTCGGCAAACTCTCACACATTATCTTTCCGATAATGGAATAGACTCGGGAGCTCGAACAGCTCAATACTAGGCAGCTTCCCTGTTGCCCGGGTCACTAAGTAAGCTCTAGTACTGGGGCCTCACGTGATTTGGCACTGCACCCCTCAAAGCTTGTAGTGCCAGTTACCAGGAAAGAATAATAGATTCTTCTGACCACGCGGTGTACTTCATTGGCAGATCAAAATATGAAAGATGTTTTAACCAAAAAAAAAATAGAAATGTGCATTCTTGAGCGAAACCAAAGCAGTACACATACACTGATTACATTACAGCTGGAAAGTCATAATTCCACCAAAACGCACACAAAAAACTCTCGTGCAACGTAAAGGCTTCGAATGAATAGCGTAACAAGAACCGGATAACAAACGGTATGCAGATGACGTAAAACAACAGACCGTTTGACAAACACAGATTAGTATTTCTGG